GGTCTTGCGACCATCCTAGTGAAGGCTTGGTCGAGGATAAGATGTCCTAACTTCTACTTCGTAAATGTAAAATTTCAGTTATAATTCATAATTTTATCTAATAAAGAACTAGAGGAAAGACCTCCCTTGATAAAAAAAAAAAAAAAATAAGCGCGAAATACCGTCCTTGGCGCTATTTTGAAGAATGGCCGGAATTAAGCTTAATTTAGGCCAAAATTGAAACCATACCCTTAGGCGTTATTTCGCGCTTATACGGTAAGTCAAACCTTCAATATTTAGGCGTAATAAAAAGACTTTTTTTTTTAAGTAAATAAATAGGTTCTACTAATTCGCTTGTAGCCTACGTTTACGACCATTGTTGAAGAAGAAACTTCGTTTATTATAATTTTATATTGACGCGTTGCTACCTGATTTACATTCAGAGTTGAACTAGACCAGTCAATTGTCAAGCTTGACCTGACCAATTTGACCAGTCTAGTCGAAGAATTTAATATTGGTCAAATTGGTCAAATAGTATAATATATATACTGTATATATATAATATACGTATACTGTATATATATTATTATATATATTAATTATAACAAATTTATTTGATTAATAAACCAAATAATTTGACCAATTTGATAAGACTAATTTGATCAGAGCCCTTTGACTATTGACTAGCAAATTTTGGTTGACCAACAGATTTAACCAACTCTGTTTATATATAAATATTAACTATCGATTACCAATCCAAACCACATACCTAACGCTAATATATTAACCTCTATAGAGCATTAAAATCATGATTATTAAATTTTAATACAAATTAAATGAATACAAACTTCTCTTAAGATATTGTTTTAGCCGGCATTTAATATTTATACAAAACTAATAAATAGCAGTAAGAGTTTTTTAAGATGTATTCAATCGTAATGTTTTTGGAAAAACTTTTTCTCCTTGAAAAAAGTTAGGTTTTTAGAGAGGCCGAATAAAGCTTTACCCGGAAATTAAATAAATTATCAAACATTATAGGCTAATGGTCATAGGATACAAGCCTTTGAGCTGAGCCATTTTTTAGAGCTGATGCATTATTTGTAGACCTAGAGCCGAGCTGTTGATCAGCCGTGTGGCTCGCGCTCGACTCAAGTCACTATCCGTAGGTTCTCCGCTTTATCACTCTCAATTAATATATAGTAATTTAATTCTACTTTATTAACTAAATGTCACATATTCATCTATGCTTTTTAATCGGCACATCCGAAAGTTGGATTTTTTATATGTATTATATGGAAAGATTAAAAGATTAGCGAAACTTCATTATTATTTTAATTAACTATAATAGTGTATTGAGCCACCACGTTTAGAGACGCAAAACTATAAGCGAACCACTAAGCCTGAGCTAATTGGCAGCCTGGTTTAATAGCCGTAAGCCGGTCGAAATCCTGACGGGCCAAGCTGTAATTCTGGCTGGACTTTGACCCCGTCGGGAGTTTAATAGATATTTGATATGTAATGAAATAAACAAAATTTTCAATATTGCAGTATAAGTAGGAACGTATAAGTTACATGTATTTTACTGATGTAAATTTTATTGTAACTTCATAAATTACTTGTAAGTTATATAACTCCTAGAGATGAAATTGTGAAATTTGGCCTGATGTTAATGCTGTAATGCCGATAGAAATTGTCACATGATTCGGCCAACCTTAAAAACCCTAAGTAGCGTAAAATTATTCCATAGTTCCGGGCTGAATTGTGTTCATGAGTCAAACAAAGTTATCTAATGTCGGCAGAATTACAGCTGTTTCGTAATTTCTGAGACAACTGAAAAATTTTCCCTAAGACCGAATCGATGTCGGCCGACAATAAAAGCTTTATCACAAAGTTTCAAGGAAAACAGTTTCTCGAAAAGTTAGGTAGTCTTTGGTGCATTTTCGGTGGTCCTTGGAGCATTACTAGTGGTCTTTGGTCGATTTCCAGTGGTTTGTGGTGCATTACCAGTGGTCTTTGGTGCATTACCAGTGGTTTGTGGTACATTTCCGGTGGTCTTTGGAGCATTACCAGTGGTTTGTGGTGATTCTTAGAACGAGAACAAAGAGGTTTCAGAAAACGGACAAATTTTTAGGTGTTCCAGAAATTATGAAAACAGTTCCATTCTTTATATCGGGTTAGCTATAAAAAATTTAAAATTATATTATTTCTGTTATGTCTTCAATACACAAAAGAAATATAGAAAACATTCAAAGTACAGGACGGTTGATGCAACACATGGTGGAAGTTTTCGTTGAAAAAAAGAAATTTTACGAATGCACTTTACATACTGAAATAAAAGAGATCATTGTGGCTGGGTTATGCGCCATTAACCTGGAACACATTCAAGAATTGCCGTATTAACGATCGCACTTTTTCCGCGCATAAAATTTTATAAACTAAATTTATACACAGCGACCCAGATGTCTGTTACAGTATATCCTGGTAGACCAATAAGAATACTTTACAGTACATGAAATTATACTGTATTTTTTATTTATATAAAAAATAATTGAGAAACGGCGTTTTCTGACTGATCAAAAAAAAAAAATTTTTTTTTTTCTAACTGTATCTTGCTATGTAATGAATCAGAATTACCAATAATGTTAATCATATGATATACGTTAGATAATAAGCTTGCAAATAATGAAATAATGACGAAATTATGAAATAATGCAAATATATATACTCATTTTTTTCTCACATACCATTTAATGAAAGAAAAGATTGAATAATGCACTTCCGAGGAAAACATAAAACGAAAAGAAACTTGCCCGTGATCATATGAGACGTCGCAAAGCATACACACGTATGCGAAAAAAAGCGAAAAGTCAATCATGTATCAAGTCAGCAAGAATTAGAGGAAACAGGAGATAAATTTCGTAAAATGTAAGGTTCTTAATTAAAAAAGATCATTTACTTTATTAGAGAGATTTATCTCATCGCTAATAATTATTTCTTTTTAGTATGAAAGGAAAATGATGGAAGATCGTGTTTTATACATAAATACCTGAAAAAAAGATTATTGTATTAATTGTGTCTCTTTGATAAAATAAATGTTGAAAATTTGAATTATCTTATGGATTTATTTTTATGTATTTTGGAAATGAGCACCTCTTTTTTATATTGTTTTAAAAACCATCGTTCTAGCTATGTCGATATCTGATATATTCAGGTGTTTGTTTAACCAGAGGCAATTTCATGTTAAATGTATTTTTAGTATGAAAATTTAAGATATTATGGCCAGATGTCATTATGTTCAGATGTCGTTATAACCAGAATAACATATATTGACGATTATTATTAAGCGAGTTTTTTTTAATACTCGATCAGAAACGTTATAAAGAGCATTACATCCACGGACTAATTTTCGACAAAAAAATTTGTATAAACAAAGCTTATAAAAAACATAAGTGCAAAAAAAAAACTATAGATATTTTTTATAGCTTATCATTTATTTCTGTTAAATGATCAATTGCTCTTGCTCTTCTATTATTAAAAAAAGTCTTAATATGTAAATGGTTAAATTAATAATATAATATTTTACGTACTGCATCTCTACGACTATTTTATGTTTTATTTTTCACTTCTATTGGCGTTTTAAGAAATTCTTCACTTTGATGTCGGTGGCGTTGATGTAATATCTTGTAAATTATACTATTGACAACTGGAAATGTTTCTTTGTAATTCGTGGAAGTATGGATTTTTTTAACCAAGTCTCTTTTGATCTTCAAAGATATTATTAAGCTTTAATTGAAGTTCAGGTCGTGATTTTGATATGATTGTTAATTTCTCTTTAAAATAAATTTATTAACATTTGGCTTACATGTTAGTATATTTAATCACAAAAGTTTAGTATGTCAAAATTAAACTATCGAAACTTGGTTATTCATGAAGAACCCCCAAAAGGTTACTGTCACAGTATCTAAAATTCGTATCCTCACACCAAATGGCTTAGCACACATTCAATCACGAAAGTTTGAAAAAAAAAACTAATCTATCGAAGCTTATTATCTAGGGCAGTATCTAACATTTGTAATCCTCACTAACCAAATGGCAGTTGCACACCTGAACCTCGGGTCTGCCTTAGGATAATTATCAGGAACTTTTCTAAGGTTGCATATGGAGGTTCTTAGAAATTAGTTTTTAAGTTAAATATACTTACACGTAATATGCCTTTAAAGCTTCGCGTGGCACTTCTTTAATAGATATGTATTTTTTTTGATTTTGGTATTCCTTCCTCCTCTTCTGATATTTTTTCTTTTTCCGATATTTCTTCATCCTCTTCTAAAATATTTCATAGTCGTTTAGTCGTTTATCATTTTTTTATAGTTGAACTATCTAAACTATATTCAATACGTTAATCTTCTGTCGCCTTCTTTAGTTCTTGCTTTGTTGGGTATATACTGTACTGAATTAAAGCTTTCGCCGTAGCTTTAACAGTATTTTATTATAAAATTATTTATTATTAATTAGTTATAAACATCAATATATATAAATAATAAATAGTTTGTTAATATGATTAGTTTTTTTGTTTTTTTTGAAGAGAGGTCTTTTCTCTATTCCTTTTATTTAAATATATATATATAATTATAATACAAAAGTATGATTATACATTCTATGAGGGGAGTAGAGGTTTGAGCTAAGGTTTACTCTCGACCTATTCTTTGCTAGAATGGTCGAGATCTCTAGTCTGTGTAAGGGGGGTATTTGATTGGAATTAACAAAAAGACAGTCCTTGAAAACCCCAGCGTTGTGAATGAGTCAAGTTATATACATGATACATTTTTAGGTGTAAAAGAATGCAATAGCATTTTCGGCAGGGAAATCTGACATTGGCCCAAAAGATAAATATTGGAGTCATGCAAAACATTGCTTGCTTTGTTCTAATAAGTAAAAAATTTCTGTTTTTTTTTTTAATTTTTAATTTTTTTTTCAATATTTTGGCTGGGGGTAAGGAAACGGCTCCACGCACTCCTTAGCGGTATGGCCGCGTGCCCAGCATTTAATACAGCACGGATATGGTTCAACAAATCCAAAAGGATAGACGTCAGGTGCTCTTATTGTTCTTTGGCCTCCAACATTGAAATTGTTCTAACCATTGTGTATAGCTATCGTTAATAGGTTTACGGGAAAGAGTTATCTATGGGTATATAGTTATTATTATTACGTAGGGGTTATTGGGTTAATCTGGAAGATGAATTTTTATCTGATTCCAAAAAATTACTGTTTCTAATATCATCATACGAAAGACCAGCTTCGGACCCAGTGTTATCATTCTTCATATATATCAAATAAATAAAAGAAATAATAATTATCTATCCTCAATACGTTCTTTTCTTTTTGTTTGATAAAACAAATCTAAATAGTTTGTTAATGTGCTTACTTTTAAAAGTATTGTAAAAATAATTTGTTTCGTATACAAGATTCAGATCTGTTACTTTTCAATTTTAAAACTTATAACCTGTGGTTCACTTGTATGGATCAGGTCTTCTAAATTGGGTTCGTTATTTTTGTCAGATGACATCCTGAGCCATTGGGTATTAACGGAAACGAAGTTTCCGCTTGTACACATATGGATCAGAGTATTTTTACTAAATACCTCGAGATCTTTATATAATATTTTAAATATCACCCGGGTTTTTTTATGTTCTATATTTTATACCCGACTATAGTACATGGTGGGTCTATTATTATGGGGTCTTGTATACGCAATCTATGGTAAGTTTTGTTTGTTATTGAATGTAAATTAATAGCCAAACAGTTTAAATGTATGGAAAGTGAAATACGTATAATCTTTTGTTAGTACTGTAAAATATAACAGATAAAAATTCAAAGGTAAAAATTTATAGAATTGCTCATGTAAAAAACCATTTTTTTTGAAAAAATCTATTTATTCAGATTAAAAGTACTTTACAAAATACTAAAATTATATTTTAATTATGTACGATAAAATTTTTAATTTAAATACGTATAATAATTATTTTTAAAAGTTTTAGAAAGTTATTTCTTCTTAAAAAAAATAATAATAAAATTTAAAATTTAGGGTTAATATTAAGGCCGTACAAATTTAATTTCTTGGTTTTCATAAATGTGAAACTTTTAAATAGATCCGGCCGGTCAGCTTTTTTCTTTTTTTAAATTTCATATATAAAAATTATAATATTTTTTTAAAAGACCCCACCGGTTATCAATATATATATATATTGGAATTTGATCTGACCGGGTTGTGAAAACTATCAAAATAGCGGTATCTGCACGTTATTTTGAATGCCTGCGAGTTGTTTTGAGTACACCCATGGATGTTATTTGGATATAGATTAATTGTTTGAACTGTGTATTATAAAACTGTGTATTATAAAATCAATTGGCTTTAATAAATCAAACTATATACGTAACGTGATATTAATGATATTAATATATAGAGGTGCGCGTTATTTCGGGACGCGCATGGGTGTTATTTCCAAATTGTCTATGCTATTTTTAGAGGCGCGATTTCCAAATAACGTCTATCGCTATGTTCGCTATTTCGAGAATTTACAGTAAAAAAAAAAAAAAAAAATGTATTTATATATGGGAGAACCCATACATTAGTAAAATAGGCTTGGCTTGGCTTTGAGCCAACCAATCAAATTTTGAGATTCGGACAAAAAACCATTCTTTGATAAATTAGGATGATTCAGAATTAACTTATTTCGAAAATAAGTGAGAGTTTAAAAGGTTCTATGTTCTATTTTAAAAGGGTTGAATCGAAAAATTAAATAAGTGCATCCCGGTAATACTGTAAAATTAGCTTTTTTTTTGATAAATATTTACCAGTAATCGATTATGTTAATATAAATATATACTTTGAAGTAAATGCGTCACTTACGTACGTGTATTTTATCTGAAATCGGATACCAAATCATTAATTCTGAATCACCCTATTATAGTATTATGTGAAAGTATATACCATATGAATTTAATTATAAAAATAATGTTAAGAATGTAAGGATAAGAATAAAAAGTATTGAAATGAATGGAACGAAAGGATTTTTTTTTTTGAATATATTATTGGAAACGGAGATTTTTACAATATTCCTCCGAGAATAAACATCCGACATTCAGATAAACCCGAAAATAAACAGTTATATATTAGAAATAAGCAAGTAAATGTCATATCATCAAATTATTAAGAATACACCCGAAAATAAGCACTGTAAAAAAAAAAAGTGTATTTATTTTCGGAGGAATAAGGTATTTAGTGTAATGACTTTATGTCTGTAATTAATACGCAACATTGTTACAATATGTCTGGCATAACTTTTTTTCGCATGACTCACTCAATAATTAAAAACTAGTTGAGGAAATTATTAGCACAAGGTAGGTAGGTGGTGTGCAACGGTTTCATGAGTGGAATGAAGAGTCATAAGCGGATGCGAACGCATCTCTAACTGGTAAAAAGTAGATTCCTTGGCACAATTCATAGAAGCCTACGTATGCAATCATTAACAAACATTTCATCATTAACGTTAATTGAAATTCACTCATGTAGTCATATATTTTTAATTCACGCATGTAACATTCATCATCGAACCTAAACTCATACATGTATGCAGATGATAATGTATTATTTGATTCTTGATTATGACGTGTTCGAGTTCCTTACAACCTGATTGGCTAAAAAAGTTAATCATGATTATATTAAAAGTCGGAAAAGAATTAATTGGTTAAAATTTCGTTATAAGAATCACTTCAATTAATTTTCAATATAAGAATATTTATGAATAATTTAGAGATTATAAATTAGTTCTATGATAAATTAACAAAGAAAATTCTTATGCCAAGTAATAAATTATTTATTATAATACATTATATACGTACTATGCTTTTATATCGTTACATAAATGGAATTTTTTGTACTAACGAACATAACGATAATTCAAACTTAATGCAATTAATTCATTGCATGATCACATACAGCATAACATTATGTATAACATTATGTATAGCATTATGTATAACATTATGTATACGTTAATAAGAATGTATTTGACTGTTTTTCATATTATAACATTTTACTAAGATGATGAAAATTGACAGGTTGTCAACATCTATAACTATAACTATATCTGTATATGTTTTTCTTTAATTTAGAATGCTGACAAAACATAATGACATTTCACAAGTGGAACGTTATAACTAAGATCTGATTTTCATTATCTTACCATCGCGTTCCAGATCCATTTTATTATTGGTTTGTTGGCATGTACATTAATTTGACATAAAAAAAAAATGAAAGTAAATATTTTCAATACGCAATCGCATGAATAAATTACTTTTTTGCAAGGTAGATTGTTAACTCACCAAAGATGTCAACGAAGAAGTTTAATTTTTATTTACTTTCATTCACGCACATTTAAGCCCAATCACTTCCACCACCATTTTAGGTTAAAAACTATCAGATGAACCCCTAATAAATTCAATATAAAATCCAATTTTATAATCCATTCACGCATGTAAAGCCCAATCACCTCCGTAATTTTATAATCCTAATAAGTTCTTCATTCGTTCTTTTCTATTTTTAAAAATGACTGCATCTTTGATTTGAGCGAAAGCGCACGTACGTACATGTACTGTACCTTCAAAATTATTTTGAGAAACAATCCCAATAATTTTAATTATTATGACGACATACCCTATATGTAACTCAATCGTATGAACAACAAAAGTTAAAAAAAAAAAAAAAAAAAAACAACACTTAAAAAAAAGCGCCTGCATTATTTTCATTACATTTTGAGAAATTTTGGTATTTTTGTTTCAAAATGTGTATGTATGGATGTTGATAAATAAACTCGCAAAATCAAAGTTTAGGGATATAATTCGTTCGTGTCTGGACACAAACTGCTTGCTTAAATTATGAAAATAACCTAAATTATAATATCCATAAAGAACGTCTCTTCGTGATGATGTTGTTTCACCATGCACAAAAGATCTGAGCTAAAATTTTCCTTGGTAGAATTCTAAAGTACCTAAATCATAACAATATGTTCAATGAACTGAGAGTTTTAATGTATAGATCAACGTTTCATAACCATTTGAGAAAACCTTAACGTATAATTGAGCTCCTTTTTAGTGAATTGCAATAAATAAGGATCGATCTCTTTTAGAAAATTTTTGTTTTGGGAATTATACAAATTTAAACAGTTTAGCATCGGAAAAACTCGAAATAAAAATTGAACTCTACTGTACATGTAACAAACACCCCACCCCCTTGTTTTTCTTTTACGCAAATGATTAACGAATTAAAAATCATGTGCCTAGTCGACAATGGAATTTTTTAGTTTATCGTTACAATGCAGAATACAGAATATATGGATTTTCGTGCATTAAAATTCGTAAATACGCGAACTTCTCAAAATCGAAACGCGAATCGGCTAAATTTTTGAAATTTGTATTAAATTCTTTCAATAGAATATGTTTATTTACTATTTTGTATTTTATCATTTTTTATCATTTTTTTCATTAAATTTATCCTTTAAAGGAATTTCTAGGAAAATTTTTGTTTATTTATCAAGCCTAGAAGAAAAACACATATACTTTGGTGTAAATTAATTAATTTCCACACCTCCCTAAATAATGGATTTGTTTTATTTGTTTTATTTGTAACCGGGTCCAGTAAGGCCTGGTTTCATGACTTACATGCAACAAATGTTGAATATTACCGTTTTCTCTTTTTTTTTAAAAAAAAAAAAATATTAATGAAAAGTAACAATTGTTGTTTTTGCATCATTTCAGTTAAAATTTCAGTTAATACAAACGCGAAATTTTATAAAGGTGTGAATTATAAAATAAAAGAAATATTAATTATATACTACGTATTAAAGCTATTAAAGCTATTAAAGATAATATAATATTATAATTTTCATATGATCATATATTTATTTATAATAACAAAAGACCGGTTTTTGTCATGTATGTAATCATTAATGTACAGTACATTAAAAAAATTGTATGGCGATAGTGTTCAATCAATCCTAATAAGGTATTAATTTTTCGGCATTCTGTCAGTTAAAAGATAAATAAAGCCGGTGTCTTTTGACAGATTAAAAAATTTTATTGTCAAATTATCCCATGCCGAACATTGACCATCTTAAATAATTTTTTAATCTACCAGATTTAATTGATTAACGTTGACGTTACGCCTAATCCTTGGTTTTAACAGAACATGTCCAATGCTCAACCAATTGCATCAACAAAAAAAACGCCGAGTTAATGATCAAAGGAAGTGCGTAATTATTAATTTTACATCAATGAATTTCACAACTCAAAAAACACTCGACTTTCCTATTAGGGTCAGAAAGAAGTTATGAATAAGTCAATGATGAATTAATTTAATTATTAAATTTCAAAAGACAGATGTCAGTCGAATTTAGAAATCAATAGCAATTAATTCTCGATAATATTCCCTTTTTTTTTCAATCATAATACCTTTAAAATTTGTCTAACTACAAGTGGGTTTAAATGGCTTATCAGTTAATAATAAATCAATTTAAGCCTCATTGAGTTCTAGACATCCATTCTTGGTAATTGTGATTTACATTTATATTAATTAGTTGATAAATGGCAAGACTTAAAAAACTTATTCAAACGTAACGTTTTACGGCTTCGTGTTTATTTTAGTTTCAATAAACAGATAACTTAAGGGATTATAATTCAAAATTAATGAACATAATCGGCCAATTTTGTACCTACCTACTTAATTGTGTTAAGGTTTGTGTGTCAAAGGTTTTCATGATTTTTCAGCCTATTACTGTATGAATAAATATTAGTAACCAAATCATTAATTGATTGATGCCGACTTTTATTTACGCACGGTTTATGTTACTTTTTTATAGTGTACAGCGGCCCAATCCATATATACTTTGAGACCGAGACCTTTGCAAAACATTATATTGGGTACATGAAGTGTCATATCAATATTAACTTTTTTGGACTCTGTTCAGGGTTAAACGGAACACAGGGACCATGGCCCTAAGACCATTTTTTCATATGATCTTGGCAAATAAAATTTTACTAGTAAAATTTTTAAGATTACGATACATCAAACCTTCCATTTAAAAAAGTCCATGTACAAAGAAAAAATCTCAGAGGAATGTACGTACTTCGTTTATCAACAAGTTTTTTTTTAGATTAACTTAAAAAATGATTTTTTTACAACTCGGATCTGCCTATTTTCTTATTATTATTATTTTTAAATCAGTGAATAAAATATTATATAATTTTTGAACCTTTATAACTAAAAAATTATAATAATTATATCTTTCATAAAATAATAAAATAAAATCTAATACGTACGTATAAGTTTATTTTTTTTAACTAAAGCCATACAAAGTTAAGTTTTTGGTTCTCATTAGTAAAATTTAAAAAATGATCCGGCCTTAATTTTATTTTCAGACAATTATAACTTATATTTAAAAAAATGCCGTACGCACGTATAAAATTTTTTACAAACATTTAAAAAAAATTTCTCGGATAGTAAATATAGCCAAAAAATTTTGCAGAATCTGATCCCGGCTAGATTATGAATATATAGCATAATTAAAATTCAATAATACTAAACTTTTTTAATTAATTTTATTATTAGAATTAAAAATTTAGTTATATTGATTCTGGTCAATATTATTTGAAATGGCTTAATTTTGGTCAAAAAACATTAATTCATATTTTAATATACAATGTCGGTCCCGTGATTTCTGAGTTGATCTACCAAATCTAATCGTGATAAAAAATGTATCGGTATTATTTTTATAACACTAACAAAAGCCTTCGTCCAATCTAATTATATATTAAGAAACAGTTAACATTAAAACTGCAAAGATTTTTTAATATTTATTAAAAATTATTAAAATATATATACTTATATTTATATTATTATTTTAATTATATTGAATAAAGGCAACCAAAAAGCAAGCTTAGATCTATAAGGGGAATTTAGCTCATAAAGCTTTCTGGCAAGTTATTGGTTTAGTTATTAAAGTTTTTGGTGTGTACTATAAAAAGATTCATTTTGAATATTATCTAAAACAATTGATAAGGCCGTTTGAAGTTATAATTTTGTTTAACGTTCCCTTCTGACAGTGGGGGAGGGTATCAATTTAAACAAACATTATGTTATATCGCAAAAATAATCACATTATTATTGGTTGGCTTATAAACACGTGACTTATTGGAATTATGAACGTTCTGATTGACCTGTTTAATTTTAGGGAGCTCTTGGAGGTGGAGGGGAGGAGAACGTTAAACAAAATTTTAATTTCAAACAGCCTAATAAAGATTTAAACATTTTTTTATTCTTATTAAAGCTTTTTTGGATTCAATTATTTTATTTCAGTTATTAATATATAATTCTTCACTAATATTTATTATATTTTCAGATTTATTAAAAAATTCTTTAATCAGTTTATTTTAGAGACTGTTTTCTAAGTTAATGTGTAGAAGTTTTTCTTTACCAAAATAGATAAATAGATAGTTATATTTTTATTTTGTACTTACAAATTAAAAAAAAAATTAGATATTTAGGCTATACAAATTTAATTACTTGGTTTTAATAATATGAAATTTTTAAATAGACCCAGCTAATTAGGTTTCTTTCTTTTTTAAATTTTATAAGATAGGTAGGGGTATTATGGCAAAATTAAAGTTGCTCTTATTAAAACTTTTTATTAACCCATATAAACATTCAAATATTTATAGTAATTAATTTATACTATATTCAAGAATAAACAAATATAAAAAAAAAAGTGTATAAAAATCAAGGTTGGCCAAAAGATCATTATCATGTGCAATATATTTTAAATTTGAAATTTGATCAATGAGATATTATAGCAAATTTAATTTTAGTGGCAAAAATTTTTTTTTGTAATTTTCTAACCTTCTATACTAGATGACTTTTGGTTAACCTCTTTTTTGGGTAACTGATTCTTTTTTTTTTTGGGCTACTGCTACTTTTTTTTGGGCTGCTACTTTCTTTTTTTGGGCTGCTGCTTCTTTTTTTTAAGTAGCTACCTCTTTTTTTGTCTAATTTTTTTAGCTTTTCATTTAGCTTCTTTATTTAATTATTTTATTTGCTGCCAACTTTTTTCATTAGTTAAAAGTTGAGCAAATAGAAGTATTTTTCTTTTTTTTTTAGGAGGAGATAATACAGACTCAGATATCTTTTAAACAGAATACTTTATGCCAGATGCAATGCATATATGCCAGGATTCTTGTAAGTTTCTAGCTCTTCACTTAGTTTTACAACCTGAGATTTTAATAAATCATTTTTATTCTTAAGTAAATATAATCTTCTTTTAAATTTTTAATATTTAGATAAGTAAAATGTGAATGACTTGGTTGTGCAAAGTAGTAATGATGTTAAAATTGTACTAATTAGCTAAACAAAAGCTAAGTTATCTGAAGTTAAATTTTTAAACAGGACTCCGAATATCTAGGATATAGGATATATAAACTTTTTAGCAAAACTCCTATAAATTTGAAAAGCAAAAAAATCACATATTTGTAAATATCTCAGCAACTAGTAGTCCAATTTGGATGAACTTTTTTTAAAATAAAAGCCCTCAATGAAGTGCTTCTTTTAAAAAAAAATTTATACAATTCTAATTACTGAATCCAAAGATATTTAAGAAAAAACAAAATTCTAGTTTTTAGCAAATTAAACCAAGTTAGCCAAAATCTAAATATGATCTATATTAGAGATGTCTGGGGTTCTTTTTAAACTATTTAGTTACTAAAAAAAAGTCTAAATGATCTTTACCAATTGCACTAGCTATATCTCAGTAGTTTTGTAAGTATTGCAAAGGGGCATCCATATTTAATATTAAACGATGTTTGTAGTATTAAATGCATCTCAATGCAATATAAGCATATTGCTATGTCTAATATAAGCGAGGTTGATAAAGTCATGATTTTCAAAAAAACTATTAGTTACAAACTAATAAATATACAAATGTATTCGTCATATGTATTCATTCTGTTAGAGCACTTTATTTTTTTATAAATGTTTTTTTCTTTTACTATAATAATAGATCTAGCAATTAATAAAACTATACTTTAGCTTACTTTTACATATTTTTATTTCCCCACCTACAAACATCTAGTGATCCGAGTGATTAATTAGTTATATATTTGTACAGATAGGTGCTATTTTTTACATTTATGTAAAATGTGAAAAAAATTATATGAATCTAATACTTTAGTATTTAATAGTTAAAAATCTAGTGTTTTAAAGTTCATTGTAGGTTTTACTTCATAGTTTTTGGCATCATCATTTAGATGCTCTTATGAATATAGATTTTGTCATTTGGGTAGTTTTACTGCATCATCACTTTACTAGAGCCTTAGAGTTATTTTTGGTATTAATGTTGATATGGATCTTATTACTTGGGTGTAGTCACTTTACTGAAGTCTTCTGTTGGTCCGGGTTTTGTTGCTTCTGGTGTTCTTGTGGCCGTAGATTTTCTGCTTGTAGTGGTTCAGTCTGGATATAAAGTTCACTACTTGTAGATTAAATGTAGATTTCATTGTTTGTGCTATTGTCAACTTCGTCGTTGTTTAGCAGATACATTTTGCAAGAACTTTATACTAGTTAAATTAGTTCTTGCTATTAATTAGTTGCTTGAGTTTTGAGTTTCACTAGGATTAGAAAGATTGTTATTGAAATAGACTTGGAATTGAATATAAGATATTCATGAGAATATACAATGTTGGATATTGCTATCTAAATAGAATTATAGCTAAAAAATAAATGTAAGATGTTTATTTATTATCAAATATTGGTAAGATATAAGTGTTTATATTCTTTATTTGTAAGCCTGTTTTGCTCATTTGATAATTACTAATAAATAATTTTTATATTCAATGCTAAATAAAATAGTTAAGACAAATAAAATGATAATTCGAAGGATATTATCGATAAGTATTTATTTTTTTTTATACATAAAGCTTTTGTTGTTTCAATTTTAAATAATATAAAAATATGTAAATAAATAATAATACATAAATTTAAAAAATATATTTATTTGAAAACTTTAATAAAGTTTTTAGATTCTTTATTTCTTAAGTAGTTTACTATAATTTGGTTATGTACATTTACTAAAATTCATATTTGATAACTAAATTTGTATTTATTAACTTTACTAAACCTGCCTATCTTTACGCTATCTAATTTTTGTGCTTTTATTATTTTTTAATTACATCACTAACATCATACTTAAAACTAATCCCTAAATTAATCAATTCATAATTAAGATTTGATCTATTTAACTATTTTGACCTGATCAAATTAAGTAATTAAAACTCTTTACCCTAATTAAATTAATTAATTAAGTATTCTCCAAGAGGGGACATAGACGAGACATGGTACTCAGAGTTATCGAACGATGTGAGTATAGCAGAGTGGGACTGTGCCCTTGCACAAGTCAAAGCCAAGTCAGCCTTAGAGACCTCTGGAATCACCTATCCTTTGATTAAAGAGGCAGAGAAAATTGCAAGAAAGTTTTTTATAAATCTCGCCTCAAATTGCATAAAAACTAGCACAATACCAAAGAAGTGGAAGCTCAGTATTCTGTATCCAATACCGAAAACAGAAGAGTGGTGTTATAAGCTTAACAACATATGATCAATTTTGCTTCTGGAGTTTCAGAAAAACAGTCATGAGAATTGTAATGAACAGACTAGCCAGGGTTTTAGGAGAGAAAAAGATACTCAAAGAAAGAAATTTTGCAGGCCTATCAGAGGAAGGCACTGCATCGCCAATACACCTTTTAGGCTGTCTAATAGAAGAGACAAAAGAAAAGAAAAAAGAATTGTAGATGATGTTTCAGGACATGAAAAAAGCATATGACTCAGTGGGACTGAGGATATTAGATTTAGCTATGCAACGAATTAAAATTCCTAAAATTATGGCATGTTTTATCATAAACCTATATAAAAGCAGAGAAATGGAGGTTTTAACAAGTATAGGTACAACAAAAAGATTCGCAGCAGATGATGGCATAGATCAAGGAGAAGTAATATTCCCTTTAGTATAGCGAATCTTCTACGATCCTCTTCTAAC